CCCGGCGTCGGTAGCGGCGGCACCTGCACATCTGGCGGCCTTGCTCACGCTTCCGGGATGGCGCCCGCGCCGCCGCGACGTCACCACGCACCGAGCGTGCGAGCGCGCGTGGAGGCAACGTTCCCTGGGGCCGATTTGCGTGCGTGGAGGCACGGCAGGAAGGGGCGGGGCGGAGGCGGGGCTTCTGCTCGCTGGTACGTCACAGCGAATAGCCAATCAAGCAGTCCCTCTCGCGCCTGCGCAGTTTCCAAACATCCTCCCGCCACTTCACAGCAGAGCGGAAGGGGCAAAGGCTGAACCGCGCATCCCATTTTAGAGATGGTAAGAGTGAGCTCTGACAGCGGCAGGCACGTCCCCAAGTCGTAAATGTGCGAATTATCTGTAGCCAAACCAGACCCAGATCCAGGCGTCCTGCTTCCCAGGCCAGGAGTCACACTCATCTGGGCTCAAAATGTCTCTGCTCCAGTGTTTTGCTTTTTTTGGTCCAGGGTTCCATCCTGGATCCCACGTTGCGCTTTGTCATGTGTCCTTAGTCTCCCTGAGCTGAGACAGTATCTCAGTTTTCCTCATTTCTCATGACCTTCGTGGTTCTGAAGAAGACTGGTTTTGTAGAGTCTCCATCAACGCGTTGGTACGGTATTCCCTCATCATTAGCCTGAGCCTGTGCATTTGGGGCAGAAATTTCAAAGAAGCGATGCTGTGTCCTTCTCAGTGCACCATGTCAGCAGGCATGGGATATTAATGTGTTTCATTACTGCCTATGCTGACTTAGATCCCCTGCCTAAACCAGTATGACTACCAGCTTCTCCACTATAAATTTACTAGATTCCACTTCGGAATTATCTATTCATTTACATCTTTATTTTATTTTAACTTTTTACATTTTTATTAATTTATTTTTCGAGTCGGGATCTCATTCAGTCGCCCAGGCTGGGGGGCAGTGGCATGCTCACGGCCACCACAGCATCAAACTGCTAGGCTCAGGTGATCCTTCCACCTCAGCCTTCCAAGTAGCCGGGACTACAGACATACAGGCATACCTGGCTAATTTTTCCAAGTAACCGGGACTACATACTGTAGCTGGAACTACAGGCATACCTGGCTAATTTTTTGATTTATTGTAGAGACAAGATCTCACCAAGTTGCCCAGGCTGGTCTCAAACCTCTGGGTTCAGGCAATCCTCATACTTTGGCCTTCCAAAGTGCTGGGATGACAGTCGTGAGCCGCGGCACCTGACCAACTTTATTTTTATTTTTTTTAGTTTTTTGTTTTTTTTTGAGTTGGAGTCTCACTCTGTCGCCCAGAGTGGAGTGCAGTGGCCACTCCCGGCCACCGCAGCCTTGACCTGCTGGGCTCCG